TATGGTTTACTGTTTATTATGGATATAGGCCCAAAATAGTGTATCGACCATAGGACCGGCCCTGCATCACATGTTGTACCTTTAATTTTGCACCAGAAGTCCTTGTTATCTATGAGAGCTATTTGCTTCTTCAAAACTGGATAGGAAATCCATTGTGGTGTAAAAAATACACGAAATATCACTTCTCATATGCCTAAAAAGCAAAACAAAAAAGCTAACAGTTAAACCCTGGTGGTTGACTTGATTGGTTTGAACTCACGACTGGAAAAAAAAACTGAGGTTGCTAGTTGGGCAGCGAGAAGGGCCAGTGTAGGTTTACATGGTCATTAACTTTGGGTCCCAATTCACAGAAATAATAATACTCCATCCGTTCCTATTAAAACTTTCAACTTTCCTTTTTTAGTAAAGAATTTGTGGTTCACATTTCTTACACATTTCTCTCTCCTCTGCACAACTCTTCACCACACAATACCCAGTATCTTAAATTGTACGTGTACCAAACCTATTTGGAAGATAAAATAGGAAGGAAGGGAGTAATAAAGTTATTAACACTTAATGGGTAATAGTCAATGCCAAAAAATAATGAATCGTGAAGAAGATGTCAAGATTGACAGTTCTGTTGCATCTGTCTAAGACTGAAGCTGCATTTATATTTGAATCATTTTCTTGATTAAAAAATTGTGCTTACTGCTTCATTGCTTTGTTGATTTGAGCCATTAAGCAGTTATTTATGTTAGCCAAAAATATGTATCTACCCTGTTTAGAATGAGTTTATATATTCCTTGCTCACATAATTGTTTTCATGCTAAAAAATTAAAAATGAATTCAACAATTTAAAAATGTATATACACTCGCCCAACGCACGATGAAATTTCTAGTACATTATTAAAGTAAACATGTGGAATTTATATTGTTACTCTGTAATACATTATACATAAATATTACTCCGGTATTATCTTACGCTGCCCTATCCGCTAGCTTTGTTTCAACACAAACTGGTCGGCACAACCTTTTATCCGTTTTGATCACTCCTCTAATCCATAAAAGTTTTATTTCCACCATTTTCCAATATTCCATTGAAGTCGTTCCACAGCAAACAAATTAACTAATCATAAATTCTCTTCAAATCTTTCGTCGATTCGCTAAGTAGTAAATTAAATCTTGCAAGGGTATGGAGATGATCTATGCATAAATTTATTTTGTGATACGTAGGGAAGCAACGGATGATTTGTGCCTTTTGTGATAAATGGATATGTATTTGCAGGCGTTTTTTCATTTACTTCTGGTTTATTAAAGACATCCCGTCTTTATTTTGAAATAATAGTATGGTACCCGTGGCACATATTTTTTTAGGTATTTTATGTATAATATGTTTTGAAATGCACATATTTTTTTAGGTATTTTATGTATAATATGTTTTGAAATGCTAATGGTATACTACGTATGACACTATGACATATACTTCGTATGTAGTATCCATTTACTACTCCATATAAATGAAAGTCAAATATGTACATATATGATGCAAAAAAAATACTTATGTTTTGATCACAAATTCACAATATGTTTTTATTGATTAATTAGTTTGAAGAATTTCCCTAGAGATATAAAGAATTGCAGGAGGTAAGGGGAAAGTAGTTTTATACAAAAAGTAAAAAATTCGCCTCAAGTAAATAATAAAAGCAAACCATTAAGAGTAAGAGTTCATTTATTTATTATGTTTTAAGTGAACTGGGGATCCAATGCGATGGAGTGCTTGCATTCATTTGGTGAACTGGTCATATTTTGTACACGAACATAAAATTTAAATTCACTTGAATAATTTGTTTTTGAAAATTTTATTTTTGCAATTAAATCTAATATGAATGATGAATCATACCATAGTTAGAGGTAAACTATGTATCATGTACGTATTATCAAAAGAGGAGATTATCAAACTACACACCATTAGAAAAATAGTCTCGAAGCCCCATATTTCGAAACCATTGTTTCACCACACTCAGTCAATCTGTTGCCGTGCAATATCTTGTCTATTCGGTCAGACTCCTGAAAATCCTCCTGTCTTCATACCAATCCACCTAAAATCTTCGGGTGTTCCAAATCATCTCTGAGTTTTCTGCCGGAGCCATGCTACCTTTGATCGCCTAAAAAATGTTATTTTTGTGTAAAACTGTCACTCCCTCCGTCCCGTAAAGAACTTCCCGCTTTCCCCTTTTAGCAGTCCCAAAAAGAAGTTCCTATTTCCCTAATTGGGAAGTTATCTACATCAAAACAATGCCAAACAGTGCAAAACAGTGTTAAACAGTGCTAAACAGTGTCGAAACGATGTCAAAACAGTAAAATTTACCCCCTGGTAAGTTTATTTCCTTAATATGTGTGTAGGTCAAACCGAGAAGTTCTTTGCGGGACGGAGGGAGTATTTTTTATTTGAATCTGACACGAAGATGACAATTTTACTCTTTGAAAATGTCAAAATTTTCTCGAAAGTTGTCATCAAGATGGCATTTCTGACACACATGTTGGCATTTTTTCCACTGATCGGAGCTGATGGTGCTGAGTGGTTGCTGAGGTGGCAACATAGGCGTGCATATTTTTTTCATATTTTTTAAGGTCTGTCATCTAATTTTATTTATTTTTAAAGTTTTTAATTTTTAATTTTTTTTTCATTTTTTAATTATTATATTTTAATTTTTTAAATTTTTATTTTTTAATTTTTATTAATTTTATTTAATATTTATTTCGTGGGTGTTTTATTTTTTTAATTTTTATTATAAATAAACTTGTGTTATTACTTTTATATTCTAATTATTAATGAAATATGAATTGTTTTAAAACAAAATAAGGGCAGAATTGGAAAGTTGTTCCTATTTAAGGAATTTTTAAGTTATGGTCCTATTTTGGGAATTAAAGTTTTATTTAGTCCTATTTGGGGAATTCTCCCCATTATTTTTCCTGAGTCAACAAGTTTAGAAGGAGTTCAAAGTTGGGAAAGGCTCATTGACGGTATTTTTTTTTTTTTTTGCAAAATCAGTAACATGTAATCAAAGACTTTTAGTAGCATTGGAGGAGAAAATAAATGTGAATGTCTAATTTAATGATGTGGCACATACATTTTACCTACACTAAACTTGAATGCATTGGAGATGCTCTAAAGACATTAATTTCATTCAATATTATTCATTGTAAAATACTACATATTTATTGAAAGTGTATATACACACACACTCGTATATCACAATTACAACGAAGACACAAATGTGTGGCTCCATAACGATAAGATGAATCATTGAAGACAAGAAAATATATTCCTTATTATATACTCCCTCCGTCCTGAAAAAGTTTGCCAAATTTCCTTTTTTGGATGTCTAAAAAAGATTTATCATTTCCATTTAAAGTAAGGAATATGTGGCTAAAATTAATTCTCTTTCCTCTGTGCAAATTTCAACAACACATTTTTTACTTTATCAATCGACGTGAAAGTCAACTTTGACCAACCTTTTCGGAGGGAGTAGAGTAATTAGTGAAGAAACATTTGAGATCAATCCCTGATATATTGGATGCAAATCAAAATAGATACACAAATACACACACATGCACATAAATACATACATGTGTGCTAAGGCATTAATTTCATTGAACGCATTGGAGATGCTCTTAAGCATCTCGAATGAGCATATGGATTGTATAACAAAAAGAAGTGGACACATCGTCATAGTGTGTGAAGGCATGTGGGGATTAATAGAGTAGTTTTAATATTTATTTATTATTGTGGACTCCTATTGTAATTATTACTATTATTCTTTATAAATATATCTGCCAGGGCTACCATTATGGGTAAGCCTGGTAATGTTTCTCACATGGTATCAAGAGCCAGTGTAACACCGAACCCGAATTTTACCCAGAGATTTTTTTCATCAAGTACATGGTTAACGAAGGTAAATCAAGACTAGAGTAGCCTTGATAAATGAGAAAGATAAAATTATTGTGTTAAATTAATAAAGGATTATTAATCAGACGCGGGACCCACATCGGGAGCGGAGACCACCCGTGGTATTCTTAGTGTATAAAAAAAATTAATGTTGATCTAAACAATACTATTTTGATAGTAGGAATGGGTCGTGGACCCCAGTGATATATAGAATGACAACTAGACGGCCACGTGGGTCGGGGCCACTCATCGATAATTGTGAGCCCTTAATTCTCGGACTATTAATAATTCGTAAAGACTGTGAATTAATGACAGAAGAAATATAAATATTTTAAGAATCCAAAACAATTGGTTGATATATATATGATTAATTTGGTACATTAAAGGAGGGTACTTTTGGAGGACCCTACCTTAAAGATATTTTGGTTTGGGAACAAACAGATAAGATTTTATCTGTTCATACATTTTGGACCACTTAAAAAGAAGTGTAACATTTTATTAAAGTGTCAAAAAATATGAAACCACATATTGAGTCATGAGAAATGACGAATGAAATTACGAAACAACACGTTCCCATTTTTACTGTTATTTTAACAGTAAAATGCACATTGGGCCCGCACCGAGAGCGGGGACCAACCGATATTTCCGGGACCACATATTATATTCATCTTGCTCTAGATGATATTTATATGATGGTGTAAATTAATGTTGAGCCCTATAGTTGGCCTATTGAGCAAACGAAGTCCCATTACCAGTATTAGTTATTTAACAAATAACAGCCCGAAATATGTTCCGAGAACCACGAAATTAAAGTTGGATAATATATATTCATTCTAGGGGCCAATATTAATTAGAAGAATGATATATATTTTATTTGGCCCGATAAAATAAAATTTAATTAAAACAACACGAAAAATACAACTTTCGGAGCCGAATGTACACTTTGGAACATATTGAGATGACCTCCCACATGAGTGGGGGGCACCCCACGTAATTATGCAATCAAACAGACAAGGGGATGGCTGTATAATTGGAGGAATGAGGTAGGGAGTTGGCTTGAAGTGATAGGCATCAATGAGAGACAATTGTGGACCATTTTCTTTATTATTATTGGTGGAATGAGTCAAAAGACATCTCTCTCCCCTCAATCACTCACTCGGCCAAAGAAACCAAAAAAGAGAGAGAAAAGCTCAGCAACTTACCTTCTCCATAGCCAAGGAGTGAGCTCAATCAAGAAGGAAGTCCAAGGAAGAAGAAAGAGTGGAGAAAGTGAAGAAAACCTTTATTAATTAAGGTAATGGTCTAATTAGTATTTTTCCTTCCTTCATTTAATCTCATATGATTTTATAAATCATATGATAGACCGATAAGCTTGTTCTACACTCCTAGAGGTGTAGAATGAGGGTTTGGAAGGATAGTTTTAACCATGAACGGAGTTATGACCGGAGTAAGACCGACTTGCCGGAAAATATCTTCTCGGAAGGTTTTGATGTTTATACCACTTTTTATTTATGAAACCTTGTTAGGAATTTTACGAAGGTATTCTAGACTTCTCAAAGAATCTAGGAGTGGCCAGAAAAGTTGCCGGAGCCGCCGGAGTTTTCGCCGGAAAATTCCAAAAGGTCACCGATGTTCAAATGAGGAGGATAAAAGCTCGCTAACGTCATTTCAAAGTGAGTGGACGACTACATGTCTTGTAACTCTTGGGTCAAACGTGGGATTACCTAAATAAAATCCTTATCATGATTTGAGAAATGATTAAATGGATTAAAATGCATGATTAGTCATGGTGAATATGAATTATGGAAATATTACATGATTAATGAATAAGAGATTTATTTGTGGATTAATCATGAATATATTATTGTCAAATGTATGAAAATGCATACATGGACTATGTATGAGATAACTAGAGTAATCTAGTATGTGAATATGTATAGAAATGTTTAAATGTGTTTAAACATGTGATTAGCTATAATGATTATAAGTTATGTGAAAATGGCATGATTAATGAGTAAAAGAATTATGAATATTTTTGATGAAGGATAATCATGAATGATTTAGTTGGACATTAACTAAGGTAATTCAAGATGGTATTCTTGAAGGATTCAAGTACTTAATCATACATGTCATTAAATTAAATCTAGTTATGAAGAATAAACTAGAACAAAATATATAAACGATTAATAAGTATGAAGTACTTAATAATAGTTGTGTGAAGATGGCTTTATGCTTTATAACTTTTGAGTGACATATGAGATTACTTAAAGTAATCAAGAATATATTTTATGGAATGATTAAAGATAATCAAGTATGTGTTATTCCATGATTATATGAAAAATATAGTTGAAAAGCATGTTGAGTAAGCTTGATGATTAAAAATGTGATAATTAATTATGTATGATGTTCCAAGGATCCAAAAGGGCATTTTTGTATTAAGGACGTCAAGAAGTACATGTGTATAAAGTTTCACGTTAATCGGACTTCGTTTGGGCGGTCAAACGGGCGTTGACCGCCAAGACAAAAGTAATACCCGACCGGGTATTGGTAAATACCCGACCGGGTATTGGTTAAAAAGGGTTCCAGGAGCCACTGCCACACTAGAACCGACCGGGTATGGGTATAGACCCGACCGAGTATTAGTTAAAAACAGTCCCAGGGGCTACTGGCTCACCCTACCCGACCGGGTATGGGTAATACCCGACCGGGTATTGGGTTTTACACCCAATATGCAGTTTTTGAGTAAGTTTACGTGGGCCGTTCAAGTGGGACCCGTCCACGTTGGTTGCTAAGGCTTCGAATATGGTTTAAACGCTAAGACTTGGACTAGTCGTTAGTAAAGAAATTATAGATCACGACCGGGCGAGGTAAGTGGTAGATTATACATGACGGGTGAATACTCGGGACCGAGTAAGGTTAGGTAAAACTCTGTAGGACCAGGATGAGTCCTTTATACTCAAATGTTAACAAGAGCCCGTGTAGTCCTTGAGGTGTGTTAATCTCCAGCAAATTACACATAGGTAACAAGGGCAAATGCAGTCCTTGAGGTGTGTTAACCTCCATCAAATTGCATATACCTAACAAGGGCCCGTGTAGTCCTTGAGGTGTGTTAACCTCCATCAAATTACACATAGGTAACAAGGGCAAATGCAGTCCTTGAGGTGTGTTAACCTCCATCAAATTGCATATAGGTAACAAGGGCCCGTGTAGTCCTTGAGGTGTGTTAACCTCCAGCAAATTACACATAGGTAACAAGGGCAAGTGGAGTCCTTGAGGTGTGTTAACCTCCATCAAATTGCATATAGGTAACAAGGGTCCGTGTAGTCCTTGAGGTGTGTTAACCTCCAGCAAATTACACATAGGTAACAAGGGCAAGTGCAGTCCTTGAGGTGTGTTAACCTCCATCAAATTGCATATAGGTAACAAGGGCCCGTGTAGTCCTTGAGGTGTGTTAACCTCCAGCAAATTACACATAGGATAAGGGTGTATGCGTACTCCTCAAGGCGGGGTTAGCCCCGGGAATGTAAACTATGATTGTAAGGACGAATAGTCCCCGAGGTAGGTGAACCTCAAGTAATGATTTTAGATGATTAAACATGCGTGATCGGGAATGAGTTCCCGATAGGGTATTTTCCTTGGTCTAGGAATTTAATTTAAATCATGTCTGTGATATGGGAGCCCGAAGGGCCCCCAAAATAATTATCCTTGTTATCGGGTGAGTTAGCCTGCGGGTGACTTCACTCGAGGGTAGGACATGGGAATGGTGACTTTAACGAGGCTGTTACGCCTAAATGATTTGAAAGACAAATGGGCCCACGGGCTGGATATTTTACTCATATGTATATACGTATACGATATGTTTTGAAAAGGGGTAGCCAAGAGTTATGCCTATAGGTATACTATCACCATATGTTGAGAGTCCCATGTTAGAAACGTTAGTTATATTACATACAGTTTGCCCTCACCAATACTTTTCTGTAGTACTGATCCCTCGGGGGAACCACCCTTTCAGGTTGAAGCTAGAGCTTACTTCCTACACTCATTGTTCGGGAGATCGATGGAGAGAAGACGTGGTTCGTGCTTCCTCTGGTTCTATTTCTAAATAAATAAATAATGCTCGTGGAACTATTTTTGACTTAGAAATTAATGGAGCCTGTGAGCTCTTGTTTTACCCTCGTGTGAGTTCTTATTAAACACTTATATTCCGCTATGTGTTTAGTTGTATGTTGATGTTATTATGTATGTTTACTAATCGGTTTTGGCATATGTATCTATCGGACGTCTTGTGCAATTTGGTAAGGATGAATTGCGGTTATTCTTATTGGGTTGTACGACGGTTGTGTACGTGGCACAGACACGGTCTGGGGCGTGACAGCCAGAACCTATTTACCCTAAAAAAAGCGGCCTCATGTCTTCAGCCGACTCGGCCTATGCCGCCGCAAGCGTCACCACCGCCGCCGGCAGTTCTTCTTCACATTCTCCACCGGTGACCACCACCGTCGCTGCAACGTTGAACGCTGCTTTCTCCGCTGCGCACAGCTCCTCGACGATTGGTTCTTCAGGCACGGCGTCTATATTCTCTACGCCAGTTATATTCCAAATCTCCTCTCTGCTGCCGCCTCCCAACTTGTTTGCGACAGCGGATGGAGCACCATGGGTACCGCCCTCCTCAACTGGTCTCCTACCCGGCCTCAGCCTCGTCCGCAGATTCCGTTTTACTCCGGTATTGTCGGTTCTTCACCCACGGTGAATTCCGGTTCAAGCTTCGCAGGCCCCACCTTCGCCGGTGCTCCGAGAATCGCACCACTGCTGGCTTTAGCTTCTATTGGACCGATTGGACCACAGTATAGTGCCACGACTACCCCAGGTTTCTCTTAATTTGAATTAGCTAATAACATTGGTTTCTCGGCACTCAATATTAAGAATATTGTTACTAAGAAGCTAGTCGTTGTTGAGGAATATCTGACTTGGCGTACTCAATTTTAGTCTTTTGATTGCATTGGTTTTTGAGTGTTTATATTTATAATTTTAATTAGATTTTACGGTGTGTTGTTGTGGTAATTGCACATTTACGGTGCAATCATTTTATTTTTCTGGTTTGTTGTAATTTAGTAAGTTTAGAATCATCTTAAGCAAGAATCAATCAAAGATCAACAAAGGATCATGGAAGGGATCCTACAAGATCAAAGGAAGGTTCAAGGGAGCAAGAAATCATGCTAAATATGTGATTTGGTGACTTACCCGGTCGGGGAGGCTCTTTACCCGGTCGGGTATGAGTTGAAAATGGAAGCTGTGTGGAAATTGGGCACATATGTGACCCGGACAAACAGATGTGCTGAAGAACACAAAAACATGCGGAATATTTGATTTTGACAGATACCCGGTCGGGTATGTCCAATTACCCGGTCAGGTATCCGCCCAGGGTGTTGAAAACACCTATAAATAGCACACTTTTCCTTTACTTTTAATCATTCCATCTTCCATACTCTTGAGCTCCGTTTGGGGGGGGTGGGGTGGGGTGGGGGGAGGGGCTTGGGTTGTCCGGGGGGGAGGGAGGGAATATAAGAGCTCAAACTTCTCCCAACGGGAATTGAACTCCTGACCTCCAGGATAACCGGGTGACTCCACAACCAACTCTTAAGCTCTGTTTAGAATAGCATTTCTTTATATTTTTCTAGCAATGTTTAGTCTCCAAATGAGGATCTAAACTTTCATTTCTTGGTTTTGCTCTTGAAGCTTGTTGATTATTAAAGTTGTGAGTTATTTTCTTAACTTCTCTTCTTGTATATTAATTCTTCCCTTAATCTCATTGATGGATAGTGTACCCGGGGGCAGCTTATCCGAAGTGTTATTACGGAGAATAACTTAGAGAGAGGTCAGAGCAAGTAAGAAAGACAAGGAGTGTATATTCGATATATCAGTTGTGACTCATTACAATGGAAAACGGCTACTATTTATAGCAACCATAAATGCAAGGTCTAATCAACGAGTAGACACGTGTCAATCAACCAGCGGTGGGGGGTCAACTCAACCACGGTGGCGCTGACATAGCATGTGGATGCATTCAATGCGATGGTTTGGGTGTGACGTTGTACTTGACCCGGTGATTCAGCGCATGTGGAAGAGGAGATCTTGTCGAGAAGAGCGCCTTTGGTTGCACCTGCTGGGGCCGAAGGCTACATACTGGGGGGGGGGGGGTCAATATGTCTCGAAGGCTGTAATTACCGAAGGCTTATTTTTAAAGCCTTGTTCTCATGTGATGTGTCTGGACTCAATTCCATGAATGTAAAGCCTTCGGGCATGGGGCCGAAGGCACACCCTGCCTATTATGGGCTGCCTGGAGTCTTGTTTGCTGGGCTTGGCCCACTTGGACTTGTTGGGCCTGATTTGTTGTAACGGAAGTATGTGGGCCGGGGGTTCCTGAGCCATATACTTCATCACTCATTTCTATATTAATGTTGGGGTGTTTCTAATTATTTTTCTTTTTATTTTATTTCATTAAAATAAATAAAAAAACTATATAAAAATATATAAAAGAAATCGTACTTTTCTATTTTCTAAGCGTACTTGAGTATATGGATACTCACACATCATCCTAGAGAATCAAGTTTCTGTCTTGGGTTCTCTAATAAAGGAGTTTATCTTATGCTCAAAAGCTCAAGATGCTAAGACCTGCAACATTTGCATATCTCACATGCATCATACGGATTTTTGCCCAAAGCTCCCAGAAGAATACCATGAACAAATTGATGATGTTGGTTTCAAAAGGAAAATACCTCACATGAGGTATGATCCATTCTCCAACATGCCTATGGAGGACATGGTTCGGGCTCTTACTAACAACATGACCACCATGCAAAACAACATGGTGCAATTCCAAAATGAGACCAAGTCTAGCATTTTAAACTTGGAAACTCAAGTGAGTCAAATGGTCAGAGCCGTGAGTAGGCTTGAAACAAGGGATTCAGGAAAACTTCCCTTTCAAATAGAACATGATTCTGAACAGGAAGCTTTTGCAATCACATTGAAAAATGAGAAGGAATTGGAAAAGGAGATCCAAAATCTAGAAGAAGAAGAAGAAGAAAAAAAGACACGGAGCTCCTACTGGTAGAAGAAGAGGATGAGCCGAGACCTAAAGTCAAATTTTTATCCTTTTCATCCTATGAGGCACCCCCACCGTCTTTCGATGCTTTGAGGGAAATCCACAAGATTGAAAAGAGCAATGAAATCTGTGAAATATTCAGCAAATGTGAGTATCAATTATATTTCTATTCACTCACAAATATGCAGGGAATAATGGTGGAGTTAAGCAAACAATTCATACCCACTCTTATGTCACCCGGATCAAAACCCCTATACCATTGGCCATTCTAAATGGGAATTTTTCTCTCACTCTCACAACATGAAGCAATGAAAATTCGGATATTTGATCCTGGAAAGATTGTCAAAATGAAGGGTGGACAAATTGAGTCTTTCTATAAGAGTCATCAGGGTGAAAATGAGAAAAGGATGGATCATCACGACCCGAATTTTAAAGATTGAACTAGAGAAGATGGCGTCGTGCCATGATGTTAAATAAGGCGCTTCTTGGGAGGCAACCCAAGCGAGGTACGTCATTTTGTGTTTAATGTTTTTTCTCCTAGGAGCCTCCTCTTCAACCCTTTTCATCTTTATTCTTCCAAAACACCATACAACTCCGCGCTAATCACCTCAAATCACATGACCATATCTTTCTTTCTTAAAGAATCTACCCAAATCATCCACCAAACACCACAAAAAAAATCATAATCTTGCTCCCATCACTTTCCTCTTGCTCCACATAACTCTTGAAAACTCCCAACCTCCCTCTCCAAAAACCCCAACTCTCTAGAAAAAAAGAAAAAAAAAGAAAAACAACCTAGGCAATGACATTGACGAGATCTAGGGACAGTGCCAAGGGAGGAAAAGACTCTTCATTGTACATATAGTGTTTCTTCTTCGTTGTATTTTACAAAAATAAAAAAAAAATAAAAAGAAAGAAAAGAAAAATAATAAAAAGAAGAAATGCTAGTTAGGTTGAAAACCCAAACGGGCAACCTAAGCAACATTAGCAAAAAAATGAGTGAGTCGATAAAAAATGAGAGGCTAGAATGAAAACCTGAAAAGGCTCCTAGGAAACATGGGAGAAATGAGAGAAGGAATCATTTTCACCATAGCAAGCAGTTGGAGGGAGAAGCAATAACTTTCTATAGTGTGGATGAGTTTAAACTGAAAACGAAAACACTTTGGAACTCTTTGGATGGGGAAGAACTTTATGATTTTACTCGAGGACGAGTAAAAGATTGAGTGTGGGGGAGTTGATTGCATTGGTTTTTGAGTGTTTATATTTATACTTTTAATTAGTTTTTACGGTGTGTTGTTGTGGTAATTGCACATTTACGGTGCAATCATTTTATTTTTCTAGTTTGTTGTAATTTAGTAAATTTAGAATCATCTTGAGCAAAAATCAATGAAGAAGCAACAAAGGATCATGGAAGGGATCCTACAAAATCAAAGGAAGGTGCAAGGGAGCAAGAAATCATGCTAAAAATGTGATTTGGTGACTTACCCGGTCGGGTAGGCTCTTTACCTGGTCAGGTATGAGTTGAAAACGGAAGCTGTGTGTAAATTGGGCACATACCCGGTCGGGTATGAAGTGACCCAGACAAACAGACGTGCTAAAGAACACAAAAACGTGGGGAATATTTGATTTTGACAGATACCGGTCAGGTATGTCCATTTACCCGGTCGGATATCCGCCCAGGGTGTTGAAAACAGCTATAAATAGCACACTTTTCCTTCACTTTTAATCATTCCTTCTTCCATACTCTTAAGCTCAGTTTAGAATAACATTTCTTTATATTTTTCTAGCAATGTTTAGTCTCCAAATGAGGAGCTAAACTTCCGTTTCTTGGTTTTGCTCTTGAAACTTGTTGATTATTAAAGTTGTGAGTTATTTTCTTAACTTTTCTTCTTGAATATTAATTCTCACTTAATCTCATTTCTATATTAATGTTGGGGTGTTTCTAAGTGACGATTAGTTAACACCTCGACATTAATTATTATTAGAAACGATCAACGAACCGATGGTTAATCGTTGATGGTTTTACAAGTAAGTAACTTCGGTTTATTAATGCATGGTCATGGTTAATGATAATCCAAAAATACTAAAGAATCAAACAACCATAGCAGTGATAAAGAAGTAGATAGAAGGATATCGAGAAGATGAACCGAATCTGGTATACCGTATGAAACCCCGCTGCTCTCCTTCTCCAGAAGGTATGCTGCTGGATCGGTTTTGAAAGGCGAGTCCAACAGTATGATTTTTACAAAATTTCGTTCACAAACAAGATTACAGGAGCAAATCTCTACACCAAAGAAAAACAGATGAAAAGCAGAGCAGTTCTTCGTTAGATCCAAAAATCGCAGATAGATTCAACCTGTTTCACGCCTCAGCTCTGATACCAATTGATAATCCCAAAATACTAAAGAATCAAACAACCATAGCAGTGATAAAGAAGCAGATAGAAAGATATCGAGAAGATGAACCAAATCTGGTATACCGTATGAAACCCCGCTGCTCTCCCTGGAGAAGGAGAGCAGCGGAAACCGTAGTCTCTCTATCTCGCCTCTGCGTCTCTGAAGCCTCTCTTCGATTAGTTAGGGTTCCCGTAAGTTAGCCTCCTTTTATAGGAGAAGTTGGCTAACTTACGGGTTACAAGGAAGCCCCCGGGCTGATACACATTTGTGGCCCGTATTACACGTTTAATTTATAACTACAAAAATACAAAGATAACTAACTAGATTAAACACCATAAAATATTCCCAACCATCTCCCCCTTGGTGATCAATCGTGTTAAATCAGCATTGCAACGCAGATATGTTTGTCTTTGTTGTTATTCAGCTTCCTTTTCATTTGAACTTGACTTCTTGAGAAGGCTTCATGAAGAAATCCTCGCAATCTCCCCTTTGATGTTTTCTTAGCAAATTGATCTTTGATGTTGGGGGTTGAGGAGTCTTTTTCTTGAAAAACTTTGCCTTCCAGAAGTAGCTCTTGATAAGCTTGGATGAAGTCCGGTGGCGCCTCTAGAATGATAGTTCTGATGAGTTTCAGATGCCCATGGAATTCATCTTCAGAGTTTGATTATCTGACCTTTGTCTCCTCCACAATGTAGTCTTTTTAACTATTTGGAATGAATGCATTTGAGGAGAACTTATCGGTGACACAACGGAACATAATGATTGTTGATTTGTGAGTGTAGCTGACCATTTGATTTGAGTTGTAGAGATAGCAGAGAAGGTGTTGATTTTTGTGATGGAGGAGTGAAGTGTCCTAGAATGATTTGTTCAATGTTAACAGCATGTAGACCACTCTCCCCCTCATGACGATCCGATGAATCGGGACGTCATGCTTTTATTCTTTTATTCTTCAGAAAAACAGGAAAAAGACAGAAATGTAAATGATAAAAGCCCCCCGGGGTCGTGTAGACACCCGTTTTCATCACTATAGAGATAAACTCTAAAGCAATGGCCTGAAAATGTTGGTGATTCTTATGTTGCAACAGCAGGACTTCCTTCCAATATTGGTCTACATCTGTAATAGATGAGCCCTATGGAAGTTCTCGCGGGTCATGTAGACCTGCAACTGACTCTAAAAGTGCATCTGTGTCCTAGAAAATTTCAAAACATTTGGGAGTGAGTAACTAGACACGACGTGATCAATGAAAGTTCAGTGGCATGGGGCTGAGGCCACTGTAGTCAGTATTACTTGCCTCGGAAGGAGACAGTAATGAGAGGTGCAGTTCCCCGTGAAGTATGATTAAACACCTGTCTCTTGGGAGACAAGTGAGTGGTCTTAGGTAGGGTTCAACGTGCACTGTTGGACAAGATGCAGTGACTTCTACCCGGGATCTGATTAAATCAGTCCTGAACCTATTTGGGAATTGTCCAGAGTATTTGAGTGGCTAGGAGTAAATGTTCAATGGATAATAGGCAGTTGAGGTAGCAGACTTATAATTGATTATTGTTTTCTTGCTCACTTGAGACTTCTGCTTCCTAATGCTCATAATTTTCATTCACTCACTTGCTCACTCACTCACTTACGCTCGGCTTTGTCCCTTGGGTAGGCTTAGTTGGGTTTACTAAGCCATAGGGACATATTCTCTCATTACTTTCTTCATTTTCTCTCTGTACTCCCCCTTAACTGGAGCACTCGGTATGCTTTGTCATTGTTAGGCGCCGGGGAGGATAACATTGAACACTTCCCCTAAAATGTTGCATCCTTTGAGAGATTCCTTGCTTTGTCGGTGTAAGGCGCCATGAGGAGAAAACTGAAACTCCCCCTCAGAATGTGCAAGGTTTGATTGCTCACATCTTGTCATCCCCGCCATGTGTGTGGAGCAATCTGAACAAGTACCACACATGACGGTTTCCCTCAGCTGACCATGTAGAATTTCAGCATATTGATGATCACATAATGTTGATGAGTCAGGGGAGGCTTCAGTGGTTGATTGTTGATTGTAGTAGAATGACTGTTGACGCGAGGTTGATTGAATTATCTATGATTTTCGGACCTCTATGGTGCAGCTTAGACCTTAGGTTCGACTTTGGAAGAATTTGAACAGATTTGCCTAAGTTTTGATCTGGACACGGTGATTTACAAAGTTTGTCGGAAAACTAACGTTTTGACCCTCAAGGACTGCGAGTGAGGGCACGTGAGAATGGGTTTTGGGGCATAGACCGAGAATTAATGTAGATCTTTTCGTTAGCTTTCCAACAAAAAACGTTTGCTCAAATCGGATCACCGAGTCAAAAGTTATGGCCAAAACAGTGCGGTGTCGCAGAAAATCTCTAATTTTGAGTTTTTGAGGAATTTCTTCGAAGTTGAGGTTCTCGATGTTGAATATCGAGAGCAGGGTGCTTTTAAACAAAATTCTAAGGCAATACCTCGAAATCCGAATCTCGAGGTTTACATCTCAAGATTACAATCTCGAGGTTTAAATCTCGAGATTACAATCTCGAGGTTTAAA